GGGGCGGGGGACCCCCGCCCGCCTTCCCCCGCCGCTGCGCCTCTTCATACACGACGGGGACAGACGGTGCGATTGACATCGCTGTATCGGGGCCGTCCGTGACTTCACACGGGCAACGGGCACCTTCCAGCTGCACGTCTGTGGCGTCCCTTGGGTGCGGGTTTATTACAGGTCTCTCAAATGCCCGGGACGGGACCGGGCAAAGAGACGGGATGGAGGCGGAATCCCACGGCTGGGCATGAGGCCCAGTCTCCATAAAGGGCGGCACTGATACAACCTTGGCGGGAGCCCCGACAGCGCTAGGCTCGGTCCCGTGCTTCAGTCGGGGGGGGAACGGGACCGCCCTGGGAATCAACCACAAAAGTGCAGCCAGAAACGTGAACCCCGAGGGCCAGAAACCCGAGCACCCTGCGGAGACCAAACGGGTCTTTGCCTTCCGGGGGTCGAGACTGAACAGCTGGCCGAGAAGCCCCGCGCCGCAGACGGCCGACTCCCGTCTGCAGGCAGTTGTACAAGGTAGAAATCCGCACATTTGTGTCCCACACCCCCAGCCTGCAAAACCCGGTGTCCGTTCACCTGAAGGCTAATCGTATACAATCGGTAAAATAAAACGACAGGCAAGATCCGGAAAGTTTCAACGTTTAAAAATATCAGATTAGGATTTAATCGGAATTTATTCAGAAAAATGCAATTGAAGGGTCAGAGCGAAACCTCTCTCAAGTCGTTTCTATCCGGAGCCAAAGCCCCACGCAGAGTGCACAGGCTCTTAAATAAAGTATTTACACAGTTCAGCCCCGTCACGTACAATCGGGTTGATTTTTTTTAATGCCGCAGCCCCATTTGCCCCGTTTTACAACATATAAAATAGTTAGCATTCGTTAAAAACACGTACAAAGGCGGGCTGGCTGCTGGCCGCCTCTGCCGCGGGTTTGCTCGGTTCAGCCGAGGGGCATCCCGGCGTGAGCCCGGGCCGCGCGGGCGGCCTACGCGTGCTGCGACATGCCATTCACCAGACTGCGGAGCTGCTTGACTACGGTCTCGATGAGCTTCTGCTTGTCCCGATCGTTCTTGCGGAACTGAGCAAAAATGTTGTTCTTTTTGCTGCTGTCCTTCATTCTGGACAAGAAAGCAGGAAATCAGAGGGTCACATTAGAAACGCCATTAAAGCCCGGCCAGATCTGCCTGCCTTCTCCTCTTGCGGCCGTTCGCGTTTTGTGCTCGCACCGAACGAGCTGCTCCCCCGGCCTCCTACCCTGGCAGCTGTGCTCCTACAGTTGGTTCAGAAATACACACCCTGACTTCACTCCGTTAACCGCGTAAAAGCTTGAACCCAAACATTACAGGCAAAGGGACCCAGGGTGACTTTGCATTCGTAGATGACCCTCTACTTCTATTTCCACTCGGGTCCATCTGCAACGCCGTGCCATCCGCTGCGAGCCTTGCATTCACAAGATCGCGCTGAAGCACAGCGGCGATTTATAAAGGGAAATACAGAAACTACGATGTAAGGAAAACCCCGAGCAAGGGTAGGTTGCGTCAGGAAAATACGTACCCTCGGTGAACTCTGCACCAGGGCCCGGCAGGCAAAGAGAAAAGGAGACAAAGTTAGCCGGACTGTGGTTGTGACCTGTACACCCGAGTGACGTTTTGTCTTTATTTAAATCGCTACATTCTCTCCCTCTTTTAAAGCACCTCAATCTCGTTTCGATCTTTAAAAAAAAACAAACAAAAACCCAAAACAATCCGCCTGCTGTAGCTAAAATCACGAGACCCCGCGCAGTTCAGCTTTAGCGCCGAGACTCTGTCAGACACTTGAATCGTGCAGCTCCGCAATGGGAACCCCAATGCTTGTAGCACAGGACCTGCACTACCGGGAGGCTGCGGGCCTGGAGCACACTGGGGGGCAGAAATGTTCACTGGCTTTGTCCCCTGACCGCGTTATCACGGGCCCCCTCCTCCCCTTTCGGGCGCAGCAGCTTAGCAGGGTCGCCGTTGACTCTTACACTGATGTGGAAGCCGTAGGGGGGAGCAAAGCGCTGCTGCGCGGGGCACACGAGACCCAGGCGGGCACCGGTGCATCGGCAGCCCGTGAGCAGGGCCGGGAGGGCGAGTGCGGGAGCCCCATGCGCCGTGCTACGATCCCGCTGCAAGGGCCGTACTCACTTCTCCAGCAGCGTGAGGGCTGTGCTTGGATTCACTCGCAGGTACTTCGAAGTCGGCTGTCCGTAGTCAGCCAGGTAGGTAGACCAGTCCCACACCATGAAAAGGTCCAGGAGCTACATGGAGAAAACAGAACAAGGTGTAAACTGCTGCGCAGGGTCAGGCAGGCACGTGCGGGCTTCCTTGGGCGCGCGGGGCACCGGGAGGCACCTCGGGCCCGAAGCTGGATTTGAAACCGGCTTTATCAAACTGCGCGATCGCGCGAGCTGCGTTTGCGATTCAAGCGGGCTCATGACACCCCTCCAACCTCGCCTGCAACCCTTCAGCCATTGCACTCCCCCGGCACAGGGGACCACGAGAACAGCGTCAGGGTCCGTGCTCCCCTTCCTCCCTTTTCTCTCTCTTCCCTGTTTGCTATTCCTATGACTCGTTTCAGGGGCTGCCGGGCATGACCCCACGGAGCCGGGGAATGTTCCTGTGGGAAGCGTCACGTTTTGCAAGCCGAGAAGATCGTCTTAGCTTGGAAAGAGACTGGAAACTCTACTCTTTTTTCCACAGTAATTTGAACCAGAGGTTCAGATCATCTCAATTAAGTGCATTAAACAACCCCCGCTGGATTCTCCATGGTGACTGATCCTCCTCGGGACCGGGCAAGGGAAGCTGCAAGCTTGTGCTTGTTAGCCCTGCCAGCTCTTCTCGTCCAAACAAAAATAAAACAAATGGGACACAACCCCCCAAACCCCAGCTCCTGCGTTTCACGGCATCTTAAAATCGCACATTTGCTTTATAATCTCCAGGCAGAGCTGTTGTCAAATATAAAAGTAATCTCTTAAAAGCTAATGTGATGCCTGAACGAAAGCAGTAGCTCTGATCCAACTTAAAACCATAATCCCCCTTAAGCCAGTTAAACCCAACTTCCTATCCGGGCTGTAATTGTTTCAAGCAGCTAAATACTTTGCTTGCTACCTTCGACTTGGCTTGCAAGAGATGCACCTACCCGTTTTAATATACTTAGTAGGCAAGGTCCCCCCTTGCCCCCACGGGTCTCTTTAACCATCACCGAGAAGAAGAAGTGCTCGCTCACTTCTTCTTGGGCACCAGTGTCTGTATCCTGCCCTCCACATGCAGAGCCCATAGGGGGAAGAGGCTGTGGTGATGGGCACTGCCTGGCTGGCACCACAGCCCTGGGCTGCACCCAAAGCCTGCAGGGGCTACATCCAGGCCTGGCCGCACGGGCCACATCCAGAGCACTGCCACGTCCAGCTTGGCCACGAGGGCCAAGAGCCCCTGTGCCATGTGCAGGGTGTATGTGGTCCTAGTGCCCACCAGGAGCGTGCCCCTCAGTCCTGCCTGCACAGGCCATGTCAGCGCCAGGGAGGTGGATGGTTGCTGCTCTGCACAGCAATTCAGTGGTCCCTCAGGGCTGGCTGGTAGCTGCTAACACACCTGGGCCCTGTCCCCAGCTTTCACCGTTAACCATAGGGTCGCAGCCATAGTCATGCCAGTCACAAAAAAGAAATGCCAAGCCGCAGCCTGCCCCTGCCCACCACCCCCTTGCTCATACTTCAGTGGTTTCCCTCTGGGGCAGCTGCCCCTCGAGGACAGAGTGCTCTGTCCCAGCCTCCTGGAAGACTGGTTTGTGGCAAGAGCTGCCTTACCTTTCTGCCACCTTTTGCGACTGGTACCAACAGCCCTTTGACTGAAATGCCAGGCAATTCTGAAACTCTGGAGACTGCCGCTAGAGGTTGATGTGCTGGGGTTTGGTTCCTGTTTTAAAATACTGAGCTTCTCCAGCCTTTGTTTTACTTAACTCAGGGCTCAATATCTGCCAGAATGGAGAAGATGTACCCCGTTTCCACTTTCCCAGCATCAACTAGTTACTTAATCTGCATGTTCTAGGATGTACTGGTATCAACTGAGATTTTAAAATAATTCTGAATGTAATTAATAAACTCCCAGGTTTAGGTCAGCTACACCAGTGCAAAGCATGGTTTGAAGGCAGGGTTTAAATCAGTTCCATATACCCAGGGCTCAAATTCCCAATGCAGACAAGGCCTCTGGAATGACTCTCCCAGGGAATGTTTAACATTTTGTCCCTGCTGCTTAGAAATTATATTCCTAATTCCCTTTCCCATTTACCTTTAATTTATTAATATCTTTTAATTCGTGTAAAAACGCACCCAATCTCCAGTCCAGGCATGACAGAATATCAAATACATTTATCAGTCTTGTCACATATTCCTCAAATATAAAAATATTGCTTGAAAATGTCTGAAATAATGCATTGTGGTATATAAACATCTACCAACCAAAATCCAATGATTGAAGTAAATTAAATGGGATTACCAAATTCCATTAGAGTATATTTTGACAGGTTTTAGGAATAATTGAAAAAGGTGCCACAAGAATATTTATGAGAATCCAGAAAATGCTAACACTACTTTCAATTGATATTTCTTACTTTGGCTCCAGACTAAAATGCCTGCTGTAATTCACTAAAAGATATAATCTGAGAATCAGAATGCTACAATTCTCCTGTAATTCCTGCTCCCACTCAATTCTGGCATCAATTTGAATTTTAACATTGCCCATATTGGAAAACTCTAACAGTTGCTTAATCAGCAAATAATATTAGCTCTAGTTTATTTTATCCCATTTAAATGACTGGGTCTGCATAAAGTAACCTGGCTGACAAGTCAAACTCATAAGCATCTTCAGAATTTTCTGAAAGGAACCAAACCTATCCTATAGCTGATTTAAAAAGGCTAAAAACTGGCAAACCACTAGCAACATTATCACCTATCTGTAGTATAAGAACAACCAGAAGTTCATAGCTAGGTGTTATACAAATTTGCAGTATCATCTGACCCCTGGAGGTCAGATGATACTGCATATCTGACCCCTGAAGGGTCAAATGATAACAAATTTGAAAACTCAAGCCCTCCTTTAAACACTTCATATATTATTAAGAACCATTATGACTCAGATACAAAAGGAACAACAGTGGCTTTATAATAGTAAAGCTATTAAAAACATTTAACAATAAAAGCTGTGCAATATGCATTATCTTTTGCAAATTGTCAAAAAATTCAATTCCTCAGCAGGGATTGTTTAGCTGGTGTACAACAAGAAAGCTGGACTACACAGACAATCCTCATCCTACAGCCCTGGGACTGGTAAAACTCAAAGTTCTCATTCAAACCAATTGGAGTTTTGTATCCACAAGAAATGCAGGGTTGCCTGTGGGGTAGAATTGTATTACTTTGAAGTTTTTGTACAAACCTTACTTTGATAAGTTTAACACATCATCAGCACTGCCAACCACCAAACTCATCAGACCAATTTAAACATTTTTTTAAAATTCTTTTATTT